TCTTTGGTCATGTGGACAAGGCGTCCGACTTCGGAATAGAACGTTCGTGGTTCGAATCCCAGCACGGGACTCGGAAATTCTATGGCCGCTACATTGGCGCCCAACGTGGGGATGAGCACGTTCATATGAAATTTGAGCAAAATAAGTCTCAGTACCCAACTATGAGGCTCGGGACGTGCCTTCTGTTGACGGGGGAGTATGTAGCAGGGCGTGGAGTCATCCCACGGATGACATCCTTACCTTATCAGCTTGCTGACGGGGTTAACCTCTTTGGTCATGTGGACAAGGCGTCTGACTTCAGAATAGAAGGTTCGTGGTTCAAATCCCAGCACGGAACTCGGAAATTCTATGGCCGCTACATTGTGACGAAGAACTTGGCAACTTCACTGCCCTACCATAACATGAACTTCTTTGAAAAAGTTGTTTCTTTATCTACGTAAATATACTGATGACAACCAGCAAGCTCATGGGGCAATATTTTTGAAGGGCAAGTGGAATGTCAAAGGAGCCCCTCAAGTCTAGCCAGTTTAATCTTTCAGAATAAATGAAACTAATTTCTAGCTTAAAGGTCACATGCAACGTAAAACACAACTTTGCAGATTCTGATACCTTTCGGTATGGACTTACCGAAACAAATCATGAAAAATGCAAATTCAACTTATAAAGTTGAAAAATAACGCAATGAAAAAAACCGCGCGTGGTTTCAACAGCTGTGCTGCGCTCATAGCACGTGTGCAGTGAAATAGGTTCGCGCAGCTTGGCTGTGGGTTGTCCGGTGAATACTCGGTGAAGGCTTTGGTGTGAGCTATTTTTCTAATGTTTTGTTGATATTTCACAGACGCGAGCTTTTTATATGTTATGACAGTAGATTAACTGTTTATATAATTTCATTTGTCTATTTCACCACACGTTCTTCTTACCAAGTCACTTTCTCAGTTCGATACTTAAAAGCAATGTCATTATTTAGCGTTGACAGAATTTCTAACTGTGATATAGATATGTCGTTGTCACAGACAAAACTCAATGTCTGTTTTATTGACACCTATGTGTCTGCCTGCCTGTCTGCTAATGACCATATTCAATACACAACTGCGATCACTGACCACATGCAATTTGAACTTAACACCAATCAGGCTATACACCATAAACAAAATGCATTGATTTATGGCCCGAAGTTCGGGTCTCTGTCACATTATGTAATTACACAGACAGGCAGGTGTGATACTTGTACACATGACATGTCATGATGTCTGTTGATTGCAAAATGTTATGCACAAAAAATGAGCATGTATTTACAAAACCCAACATCTCTATATATACACACACAATGAGCCGTGAGGGCATCTGCAAATGAACCAGCCGTTACACTTGAGTGCACACCCACCTGCTCTGACTGGGTTCGGTATCCCGGCTGCTTCGTTTCTTGGGAAGTAAACCCAAGTACACAATATTGCACTTTTGATTTGCGATTGTACGCTTATAATTTTGTTTATATGTTTTTTCATAACCAGCAATGTATATTATATGTCATGAATAAGAGATAATTGTGTTTTAATTATGTTTGATTTTTTGGTTGCATGTGACCTTTAACATTTTCAAAGCATTCACTGTCTGTGTATTCAGTGATTACATCGTACAAATATGAGCATGAAACTCTTCTTCCTAACAGCATTTTTGTGTTGAATTCAGTGAGTGATGTTTCAGTCAAATGACAGCAGTTTTAAACTAATCAAGTCTGGCCAGACAATCCAGTGATTGACATCATGAGCATCAAGCTAAGCCACTGGGGTATGATGATATATATCAAACAGTCAGCGAAGCAGGCCAACAAAACTTCCATCACCTCTTCCGACAAGCCTCAAAAAGGCTGCTTAAGACAAATTCAAACTCAGTCTCAAGTGTCTAATGAAACTGTCTTGCTACTTTCTAATGATCTTCCGAGACGGAAGGTCGCTGGGTTCGATCCCCCGACCGCCATACTAAAATATGGTAGGCATTAATGGGTACAAGGACTGGTTCGAGTTAGTATAATGTGTCTGAGTGGGGTATTCATGCTTCAGCAACTCAGTGGGCTCTAAAACCAAAGTCTGGGCTAGTACAAGCAGCCGCTAATACAAACTGCGATGTCGCCATATGAGCGTTTTAAATATTCTGCTAAAACCCAATTTCACCTCACCTCTAATGATGACACGTGATGTAAAATGTTTTGGAAGCAACTTACCTGTGCACTGAAATATGTCACCAATAGTTGAAGAAATCCGAGCTCTTGTTGGAAACAGCATCAACAGTTAACAACCCCTTAAAGACACTAATCCAGAAGGGCAATGTTTACATAGCCAGCACTTTATTCTCTTTATCATTCCAGAAAATCAATGCCCGTTCAAAAAAGTGTAATCTCGCAACCAGCTGCAGTTAATGAGGGAGGGGGTGAATGTTGTTTTATGCCAGTCTCCCAAATGCAAGCTGTAACTGTCCCCGGCAACTGCATGATATCCAGGGTGTCTAGTCAGAGCTGACCGCCTCCGTGGTGTAGTGGTTAGAGTGTCCGCCCGGAGAGCGGATGGTCGCGGGTTCGATCCCCGACCGCGTCATACCAAAAGACGTTAAAATATGGTACTTGTTGGTCCCTGCCTGGCGCTCGGCATTAATGGGTACAAGGACTGGTCGGCTCGGAGTCAGTATAATGTGTCTGAGTGGGGTATTCATGCTTCACTGCGGCATGGTATCTCAGTGGGCTAGCACTAAAACCAGCTTCAGTCTGGGCTAGTACAAGCAGCCCCACATACACATACACACGCATGCACGTGGTCATATGAGCGAAATATTCTCAAGCACGACGTAAAACCCAATTTCACCTCACCTCTAGTCAGAGCTACAGATAACTTTTTGAGTCACTGAGTTATGTTCTCGCTTGTGTTCATCTCAATTGGGTATCCTAATTTTCCTTTGAGTAACCAAACAAATTTTACCCACCTGACTCAAACTCAATTGGATATCTTTCCAATAGTTGTAAAAATATCATAAACTTTAAATGTTGGTTTACGTGTTTGTTATTTATATTTGATCTGTAATATGAGAATCGATAAGAAAGACTGCAAGTTGCCACATTCGTGTGCTGAAATAGAACCTCTCAATATACCTCACTTACTTTATCTATCCTCAGTAACAACCAAGCTAAGATTTGACAGTTTGTGTGTATACATGTAAGATCAAATTTATTGAGTATTTTCAAAAATCCAAGCGTACCTGTCTGAACAGAAGGAATTGAGTTTTCACATAAATATTTGCGTAATTTACGCAGATATGCAGCTTATCTGTACTTCTGTCTAGTGGAGTGGAGTGGAGTGGAGTGGAGTGGAGTGGAGTGTATCAAAGCCCTTGCTGCAGGTGTTAAAGAGTTGATGTGGATGGGGCAGATAGTGTGCCGATACCAATGGGGTTGGTGTGTTAGGTGTTGATGTATGTTGGGGGTTGGGGTGAGTTGGGGCAAAGTGTGTCAAAGCCCTTCATGCAGTTGCTAAGAGTTGATGTGGATTGGGCAGACAGTGTGCCGATACCACTGGGGTTGGTGTGTAAGGCGTTGATGTGTTGGGTGTGTTGGGGGTTGGGGCTTCGGTGAGGTGGGGTGGGGCAAAGTGTGCCAAAGCCCTTGCTGCAGTTGCTAAGAGTTGATGTGGATTGGGCAGATTAGGTGTTGATCAGTGTTTATGGGTATAGAGCATCTGTACCCCCCTGGGATTGGTGTTCAAGTTGATGTGTGTTAGGGTATCAGCATCAGAGTCGCAGTACCGTTGGAGATAGTAAAACATGTCTTCTTACTTCATGAATGGGAAATAAAAGCCTTACCACTGATTGCCTTCACTATAGATTTTCTTTTCATATTGACAGGTCACAGTGACCTGACACACTTCCAGATGAAACTTGGCTAAGATCAATTTCTGCCAAATGTTTTAGTTTTTAGCTATACAAACTTACCTTTTTAAAATTCATATGTCCCATGAAAATTCAGTTTTTAGTAATTCCTGGTTATTTCAGACGCCAGGCTTCATGAATGAACAGTTTCTAATTTTCAGCTGTCTGCTTTCCATTCGTTCTTTGATGCAGTGTAATATGTTTTTCATAAAAATGATTTCCTTTAATTCGACATTTATTTCATCAAACAGATCCGAAATGGAAAACTTCTGCTTGGCATTTTCGGTGATTTATAATCTGAATACTACATTTTTTTAAAGAGAATATTTAAAATATTTCCCTTTTCAAAAAAGTTTAAGACTTTTACATCTGAACTTTTGTTTTTTAGCTTTTCAAATAAAACAGTGGAATTCAATCAATAAAAACATGAAAAATGTTCTAACAAGTTTGTTGAATACATGCATTAATTATTCATAGGGTTTTTCTATCCATCATATTTTTGCACATACAACAAAAAATCCTTTTCTCCATTCCAGCACTGTCAGCTAAATTATGTATGGAATTTCCATATTGATTAATCCCCCAGCTTCGCAGATCCTTTTGCCTCCAAGACATATAACCTACCCTTAAGACCAACAGTTCCCCCACTTAGCATTTTAAAGATACACAGCCAGACTCCAGCTTGTGCTACAAACATTTAATCACCGACCCTCGCTGTCCCTAGGTTTCAGTGACAACTTCTAACTGATGCTGTGAACCCACATGGGTGCCAGAATCAATACTGAACAGTTCCCTCAGTTACCAATTCCAATACCCTCTCCTCATCAATAGCAAAATCAAGGTCAAGGTCGGGTCAAGCAGCTACAACAATGCGAAATTGTAGCATCAGTGTTGTGTTACAGTTGATTCAATTCCGCGTTAACAATGCATGACAGCATTTAATTTCATTCTGTGTGTTTGCCATGCTTGTATATTTTACAGTTAGCATGTAACATCCACCAGAACTCTCTTTAATGCCACAGACATTAGAAAATCTCAACAACTAGATTTCCTACATTTGAATTATCTTGCATGTTCATTTCTTTAAGAGTGCTGGCCAACACGGTGCTGTGATGGTCAGCATTAGATGACCGCTGCCGGACAATGAGGTTCTACGAAGTAGCCATTAACATCAGCTGTTGTCTGTCAAGAGTGAGACGGAAGGGAGCTCTCTAGCTAGACTGAGTGCAGTGCCGTTACGGATTAATAATCAACAAATGGTCAACAACTGGTCAACAACAGAGCTGTTATAAACCAGGTAAGGATAATAAGACTGGATTTGTGTGTGAAAAAGTGTACAAACAGTAGAAATCACAAAAAGGGTTAATTTGTAGTGGTGCATTTTTAAACACAAATTATGATACTGTTCAGTATATACAATATTTATACCTAAATGGATCTATTTTAAGGTCCTGATAACATCAGGGACTCTGATTGATCAAGAATGCATGAGTTATATTTTTTCTTCTGGTGATGTTGTGTTAAGTCCAAGTGCATAGAAGACCTAATCTGTCGTAGAATCTTCTTAGACACCTTTCACAGGTTTAATAGAAGACCTAATGTGTCGTAGAATCTTCTTAGACACTTTTCACAGGTTTAATAGAAGACCTAATTTAATGTAGAATCTCCATCTAGACACTTTTCACAGGTTTAATAGAAGACCTAATCTGTCGTAGAATCTTCTTAGACACCTTTCACAGGTTTAATAGAAGACCTAATCTGTCGTAGAATCTTCTTAGACACTTTTCACAGGTTTAATAGAAGACCTAATTTAATGTAGAATCTCCATCTAGACACTTTTCACAGGTTTAATAGAAGACCTAATCTGTCGTAGAATCTTCTTAGACACTTTTAACAGGTTTAATAGAAGACCTAATTTGTCGTAGAATCTCCATAGACACTTTAAACAGGTTTAATAGAATATCTAATTTGTCCTAGAATCCCCATAGACTCTTTTGACAAGCTCAACACAAGACATAATTTTTCTTTGAATTTCCAGACACTTTTGACAAATTTAATAGTGAGTGAGTTTAGTTTTACGCCACACTCCAGCTATATGGCAGTGGTCTGTAAACAATCAAATCTGGACCAGATAATCCAGTGATCAACAGCATGAGCATCGATCTATGCAACTGGGATACGATGACATGTGACAACCCAGTCAGCGAGCCTGACCACATGATCCCAATAGTTGCTTCTTGCGACATGGGTTACTTCAGATCAATTCTAACCCGGATCTTCACGGGCCTCCTTGTTCTCAACAGCTGAATAACTCCCAGTAAACCATCCAGAGGCAGATACCAATCACGTAAGACCAATATTTCATATTACTGGTCCAGCATGCATGTCAACCTGTCAGAGGAGCCAAGCGTTATTGTGCTCCCCACACACATCCAACAACGTACATATACCTATATATATATGATAATAGGTAAATTGATTGACATGTCCATGCTACAAAACCTTTATTAAATGACAGACTTGAGTATCAAATGATACCTTGAGCGGTGTGACTGTCACTCCCACTGTGCATATCATGCAATCCTGTCATCAAGTCGATAAAAAAACATTATGATTATCAGTGTTTAAAACTCCCAAAATTCTAAGCCAGACAGCCGGACTGGTAACTTTAAAAAATTACCAGTTCGGATACAAAGATGCCTGTCCGGTTTTCAACAATTAAAAACTGTGACTGCTATTTCCATCTCGAACAAGCTCCATTGACTGTTTGTAGGCATCGCAATGAACTACATAGCACTAACAGGCAATGCACCGAGTTTAGGTAAACTGAAAGTACATGATTGTGATTGGTTACCGTAACATGAACTGTCCAATCGTAAGTAGTTTAACATAATTATCATAAAATCTTAAACACCTCAAACTGATGACAAGAGAACCTGTCTGATATTGTGAAATATTTACTCTTAGGGGTAAAAATATCTACCAGACCACAGGACAGGCTACTTTTGAAATTTGACCGTCTGAGATGAAAACAGACCGTTCCGGACGGTCGGGCAGGCGGACATTTTAAACGCTGTGATTATGTCAACATTTGTCAAGTAATAACTGACCCTTGTTCAAATATTTGAGGTGCGGTGGGGTAGCCTAGTGGTTAAAGCATTAAAGCGAAAGGCCCGGGTTCGATTCCCCACATGGATACGTGTGAAGCCCATTTCTGGTATCCCCGCCGTGATCTTGCTGGAATATTGCTAAAAGTGCCGAAAAACCATACTCACTCACTCAAATACTTGATATCAAAACACATCAAGCCTTTAAATTGACGTAGGTTGACATTTTCTGTGTTACCACCTGATCCAATTTCTCATGACGTGGATTCAAGGTCCTTGTTCTGCCCTCCTGAGACTTGCAATCATCTCAGGATAGATCTTACCACACAAGTAGCACATGTCTTGCATGAATGGCTTCTGTAGATTAAACCAACCTGATTCCACAATTTGGCATCATGCACAGCTTGCCGATGCGTGACAAACGCTGTGTTCCAACTGTCAGAATGTGTTTCACTAAGACGTATAATTGTTGGAAGACAATACCAAGGTAATGGAGATCAATGTCCCCGGCTTCATGGACATACGGTTGTATTTACCGGACAACTGATTCCTACCACCACACAAGCAGTAATACAGCACTTAAAACTTCAGCAATGATGATTTCCTAGCTAATTCTGCAGAATTAATCTAATCAAACGAAATCGCCTACCACCAAGCCCTTGATTCAACATAGTAACAATCTCATTTGTCTGGCCGACTACAATGAATATGATATGAGTGTCGTCTGTCGCAGCTGTGTGAAATCTGAACACTTTGAGTGAAGGTACATTAATATCTCCAAATGATCTATGTCCAGTTTTAATCAATTATATTTTTGCTATCCGTTTAGTCTTCTCATTATTTTGACATTTAAATAATGATACTTTGCCATTTGGCTACCACTAGGAATAATGACATATTATCTCTTGAAATGAAGTCAACACGCTGATCATCAAAGCCTCTTAAAACTTTATAGATAGCATTTCAATTATAACATGTTTTCAAAAGAATTTAAAAACAAACTGAATTTTTTTTCCCCCGACAGTCATTTTGAACATAATATACTGAAAAACTTTGGAAACACATAATCAACTTCAACCCAAAATCAGACAGAGTCTATCTCCAGATTTGAACCCAAATGACAACACTGAAGATGTCAACTAATGTCGATTAAAAGTTTAACATATTGTTTATTGTCACCCTAAAAATGCCCTAGTTTCTGTTTATTTAGAAGGTGTTTGTAAACAGAATGTTCTCAACTTAAGAAATAGAATATAAAAGTTTTGTTTTTTTTAACAGTGATGTCCGAGTTGGTGAAGCCTTGTCATCCCCCAGAGGTACTGCTGGCCAGTCCGGAACGAGATGATGACCTTGACCTGGAGGAAACCATGTGTAGGTACCACTGTAGTATACACTTTTAATACAAACCATGACCAGACTTTTTCACCCTTAAACTACCATGCTAGATGTTCACTAAGACACAGTCACAAGTGTCAACGATTGCCCTAGGCTACCAAATATCGGAATCATCTTGGTTCCCTCTGTCTTCAGGTCAGTGGGGTAGGCTAATGGTTAAAGCCTGCTCTTGCCACGCCGATGACCCGGGTTCGATTCCCCACATAGGTACAATATGTGAAGCCCATTTCTGGTGTTGAACCCGCCTTGATATTGCTGGAATACTGCTAAATGTGGCGTAAAACCATACTCACTCACTCATATTAATACAAGTGAATTTATGAAAGTAACGGCTTGGAAAAATGGGACGACTGAATGTAATTAATAGTGGGTGAGTAAGTGAGTTTAGTTTTACGTTGCACTCAGCAATATTCCAGCTATATGGCGGCGGTCTGTAAATAATCGAGTCTGGACCAGACAATCCAGTGGTCAAAAGCATGAGCATCAATCTTCGCAATTGGGAACCGATGACATGTGTCAACCAAGTCAGCGAGCCTGACCACCCGATCCCCGTTAGTCGTCTCTTACGACAAGCATGGATTACTGAAGACCAATATTCTAACCCGGACCTTCATGGAATGTAATTAATAGAGAATGTATTGACACAAAATTTGATGTTAACCTATTTCTCGCCAAGTGTCCCTACGCTTCTGTTTTCTTGCTTATTGTGATAATTGGTTGACTTGCTATTGCATGAACACGACTCAACAGCAAATTAACCTGAGTATTTTCAACACAGATCGCATTAAATATGCAAGATTTTCTGCATCAGAACAATCCCTGAGTGTGTGAACAGGTGGGGTCGACCTAACTCAGTACAAAGAACAAATAACTGTCCCCTGTTTGAGGCAGTAGGAGACGGCAAGATCGCATGCTTGAATCCTTGTAATGCTGTGTTGAATGAACATGCAGTTTTAACAGCACAGCCAGGTCATCTGCCTTTTGTCAGGCCATTCTCAGCATCAGCTTGATATTTTTTTATATATTATTATATTTATTATATATATTAAATTGCAATAGGTACATTTTCGTATGTTCCCATTATCCGCAGGTGAAAGATGACCCTTGTGTTAAGGGCTTAAGGCCTTGTTAAGGTGCCACAATTCATAAAACCACCCTTAGGAGAGCAGGAAGCTATGGTCATGGGTTTGAATCCAAGATTCACTTGCCTTTCTGTCTGTCAGCATCATAGTTGTGCATTATTATTATTATTATTATTATAACTAGTCAACATGAGTGAACTCATATAACTGAAATGTTATTTAATTACCCCACATGGGTACAATATGTGAAGCCCATTTCTGGTATCCTCCACCGTGATATTGCTGGAATATTGCTAAAAGCGGCGTAAAACTAAATTCACTCACTTACTCAGTAATTACTCCAATCACATTCATATATAACAGCAGCAAATCTCAAGGACGCAGAGCTGCAGTAAAGTTTATTATGCATACACCAACTGGACCGATATTGGATGTAGAAAATTGCACTCATCAGTCTGTGTGCTCGCCTTATGTTACAAGTGTCCTCAGGGCAAAAGATTTGGAGTGTGTGTGTGTGTTATTAATCCAGGTTTGTGGGTCAATTTCTTTTTCTAGTCTTGATAATGTATACTGCCATGAAATTGGCTAAAACATCAAGATTGATCATCACTTGCAAAACAAATAAAGATCAATCAATAATCAATGTCTGAGAATAGAAAAATAAAAAATTGGAATTTCTTTATCTTTCTTAATAATGAGCAAAATCACTGTACCTGTACACAGCAGGTGGAATTCAAAATTAACAAATATTAGTTTCAAGATCAGTAAATTCGTCATGACCGTTGATTTTGTGGTCCATGACTTCGATGTATGGTTTGGGAACTACTGCATTGCCAGAGTACTGCTGCTTGATGTCAGGCAATAAACAGGTATTCACATTTTAATTCAAATTGTATTAGAGGCGGGTGCTCAAGGGTTGGACCATTCCTATAGGTAACCTCCCAAAACTTAGACAGCCATATCTTAGACGGCTTAAAACAACAACATTTCTGGTTCAGTGCACAACTTAATAATCCTCAACCTGATACCTATTTCTTATAATGGATCAGTCCAGTAGAAACAATTAGACAAGACGTTATGTTCATACAGCATATTTATTATGAGTTCAACAGAGATAAAATAGAAATAGTAAATAATAACTAAGTAAATGGGTGTTGTTTTAATTAATGATATCTTCATTAGTGTCTAAGCCTCGGATATTGGGAGATAACCTTCATATATCACTGAGATTCTCTATATATCACTGCTGTGCTGTCAGTCGTGACTATTATATAACTTTCACTGCTGTCTGGTCTATTTTGCCAAACGTCATCTGTTTCAGTCGACATTTGAAATTGGGGTTGATGTTTCATATTTAGTCAGTTTCCATTATGTAAATAACACCAAGAAGAGCAAACTTCACTCATATTGTTTCGCATATTGGACAAACTTAAAATTTGTGGACAGTGGTTAAAAATATGAGCAACATGCCTTGTCGTGGATTTCACAGAGCCTTTACATTTGTCAGCTATGTCGCTATGGTCCAGTTGATATAGCTCCTGCCTGGAGACTGAGCTCAACTCCTTTCCTTTGGAAACAAAACATCTGGATGGAGAGCAGACCCCATTTCTTGTCACTGCTTATGCAGGGTGCGATTTAGTTTGCCTTGAAGAGATTGCACCAGGTGCAACCTGATGGATAATTTTGGTTGCACTTTAAAATATTGGTTGCATCCGAAAGTATTATAAGAAAATAGATATCTTACAAAAATTTAGAACTAAAGAGAAACTAATGCACTGTGCAACAGATTAATTCATTCCTATTTTCATTTTAAAACTTTCAATGAGACAAAGACCATAAATTCACCCTTAAAAAGATTTAATGAAATAAATGTACATCTTTGTTTCATTATTAACACCGTTGCTATGATGATTTATTATATTTTGAAGCTATCAAGTTACTTGCACTGGGTGCAACCTGCTGGTAAATGTTACTTGCACCAGTTAGAATTAACTTGCAAAGGTGCATCCTGTTAAGGGCTAAATCACACCCTGTTATGTTAAGGGACACCTCCTTGGCTCTGTGGAAAAACCTCATTTCACCTAACCTCTCATAACAAATAACGTGGTTTCCTGTACCAAGAGCATTTGCCCGGAGAGCAAACCTCATTTCACCCAACCTCTCATGACAAATGATGCCTTGCAGATATCGCGTCTGCTCACATAGTGAAACCCCATTTCACAACTTATGACAAGCCCTGGATGCACTGGATCTATTTGTCCCTATTCTTCCTACAAGAACCGACTGGGAACTCAAACTGTGCATGGTCACCTGAGTGTATGTGGACATGATCTCAGATTCTGATCAATCAAATTTCAAATGGTTTGAAAGAAGACTCAAACCAGCATTGAAACTTCAATCATTGATTGCTAAACCTATCAAGGCAGCATCAATATTGATGAACTCAAATCCAACTGTGTAATGGTTCAAAATGATACGGCTCAATGTCTTCAGTATCAGGCCATCACTGAGCATATTTCAGTGATACAATCACAAGGGTTATCAAGAAGAACCTAGCTTCACAAGCCTAAGGGGTTCACTACATAGCATTTGCCATTAGAACACTGAAATGTTCAGAGGACACAAATCTGTGATCTATGCAATGTGATCACCTGGATCACATTTGGAATGAATTCTGTTACAAGATTTTGAAAGTACTCAAAGGCATAGAAGGCTCTTGTTAAGAATAATGTCTTCACGAACTCATATGATTCAAATAGTGATTGACAGTTGATGATATAATTATACAAAACAACACTGGATAACTGATTTTAATATAACAGTCCAGTAGCTAAAACCTATTTTCAGTTCTAACCATGCATTTTAAATTCCACAGTATTTTATTGCTGATTTATAAAGTTTTTGTCTAAACTCTTAATATCCCTAGGACAAGCGTGAATAGACATTTGAAATACCTGTAATTAAAATTCAGAGCATGTCAGTGAGCTAAAACGCCATTGGTTCCTGTCTAGCATGCCATAGGATTGTATAACTGTCAACTTAACTTAGTTGGCTCGGTCTTTGAATAAAGATATATGAGCCACACACCGTGGCACCTTGCTTATCCACACACTTGCATTTCTAACATTTTGTCTAATAAACAGATTTTCGAATATCTGAATCTCGACAGTTACCCCCTTTTACACAAATTTTAATGAGGCAAAACACCTCTTTTGTATAATGCTTAAGATTATGTCAGTATGGTGTGAAGTCAAGATCTCCTCATAGAACTGAACAAACATTTGATAAGAAACTTGTTTATTTAAAAAACAGAATTTCTGCAGTTCAAGGCATTGGACATAATGATGCACAATTTACATTGTGTTTGCTGCTCTGCTTGGCATTGTATATATAAGCAGGGGTTACCATTACAGTGTGCAATTTGATCAATTACTCTTGAGATTTTCTATTTCAATTCAAAATACATCATGTTGACATATAATTGTCAGACTAGAACAAATATCAAAGTTTCTCAATTATGAAATATGTATCCATTTTTCTCAACAAACATTCACTTGAAGGCATCACTAGCAGTAATCTGATGTGAAAAAAAAGGATGAATTTGTGCAGTCACTAAAATTTCAATGAACAATATCAAATGAAATTTGGAATAAAATCAATAAAATAAATCAGTCATCAGTCCAGATACACAACAAATACTTCTTATACAATGTATGTGTAATATCAGGATTAAATAAACTCTGTTATCTCATGATAATCGTCCCTTTGATGTTGGATGCTGGGGTGACGAACTGTATTTGTACTTGTCCATCACTATTACCAATCAGCGCCAATTAACTACCGGCTTCCCTTGTTAAGTGGCCCCTTTGTTATCTTCTCCCCTTTGTTGTTTTC